ACCTTTCCTGACATCGTTGCAGAAACTGCATACGTCACTATCAGAGCGTGGATACTTTCTTCATCAGATATCGTCAACACAAATAACTTTGGGTATGTCAAAGGTGACGATATGCCTGGAGCAGGAGTGATATCTATGACAAACGCAATTGACCTGGACTTTCACATAGTCAATGTTGAGGTAAAGGATTTTATTATATGATTGAATAATTTCCATCTCTCTGATTGGCTGAGATCCAACTTTGTTAGAAAAATACTACGTTGTATTGACCTGCACGTCACGTTCTAGGTGAATACAAGGATTTTTTTTCCTCTACATTGATCCAAAAATAGATCGGGGAATTCTAAATTGATACAAATTGTTTTGGAAGGCTATTTTAACGAATATGATTTTTTATGTGAACAAAACATAAGCAAATATATATTTCTGAGTGAGGGTGGTAAGAGGGGATGCAGGGACCCCCTTCCAACACTTTAACTGAACAACAATTTTTACTTTTTGGCTGTCAGTTTTCCCTAATAATACTCCCCCTTTCAAAATCTATCCTATAAAAAGAGTGACTTTATATTTTTATGGCAACCAAAATTGATTAAAAAAAATCAAATTGATACAACTGGTAGGTTTGTTTACATTTTAATTTTTCTTCTGTCTTGTATTTGGCTAGGACATAATTAAATGCAAAGAAATAATGAGCTGTATCATTCAATCAGTGAATCATATAATAAAACAATTATTGTTGTTTTTTTTTTCGATCAATACAATAATTTAGCCCTCTTCGATGTACAATATTCACTTCGCCCTTCGGGCTCGATAAATATTGTACTCCTCAGATGGCCAAATCATTGTATTGACCTCAAAAACAGCAATAATTGTATACAATTCTGCTTTTTGGGGGGCTTACAGCAGACATGATTAGACAGAAGATACACTATATTGCAAATGATGCATATAATACATTTCTAAATTGTAAAGAAATTGTAAACCTCAAAAACTCTCCTCAAATCCAATTATTGTTAAATTTTTAATAAAAAATTGAATGCTATGCGGTAAAACTTTATTTATATAGTCGTGACTCTAATTGTTTTCTTCTTTTTAATTTCTTTGACAAAAGTTTTTTTTTCTATCAAAAGTCTTTTAAAAAAACCTGAATGTCATTAATTGACACGATAAAGTATTAATTAAGTGTTAAATTATCTCTTTAGGCTGACATGTTGCATTAATCAGTAAGCTTAACATTTATCAATGAATATTACAATTAAAGAATTCATAAACCGTTTCAGATCAGGGACAAAACAGTTAGCAGTGGGAAGGTATTTTACGGAGCTGGATCTGCCAATATGGGATATTCAGGGGAGCCTTACGGGGGCGTGGTTTTTTGGTTACACAATATCAGATGTTCTTTTATGGACACCCAGCAATAGTGTGACTGGGGGAAATCTTATCTACATTGGTGGTTTGTGGGGAGATGGTACAGAGAATATGCAGATCAACAATGTTCATATAACAGTCAAAGTAATAAAGGCTGGGTTTACAGGTCAGAGGTTTTATTGGAAAATAAATTATATCTTTATTTATATGTTACTATAGATTATTGCAATACACATAAAATGGCACAATATTTAATTAATTGATAAATTATATTAATATGCATATTAATGCAAACAACATTAATTAACTTTGTTCAATAACTAAAATGGCTCATTAAAAATTCTTCTAGTTTGAACAAATATATATTTTTTTTAAAAATCTTCTTATTCTTTCAGAATGCCCATTGCCTCAAGATATTCCGAATACAATCAAAATGTATAATGGGCTGATGGCCGGAAATAAGACTTTATATGCTTGTGTACCTGGATACACCAGTAATGGAGATTCAGTTGAGAGTTTGTGTAATGGAACATCATGGTCCGATACTAGTTTATCATGTCTAGGTGTGTAATTACGTCATGATTTAAAAGAATATCTTAAACCATCATACAGATTTTGTTATTAATGTAGGACTGATTCCGAATTCACCCCTTGCTTTTGATGTTGTGGAATCATAAATGTATAAAGAAATCAATATGATTAATAGACAAAGTCTAAATTTTAAAATTGGTTGCTATTAATGTGGAAAGAAAACTTTAGAATTTAACAATAAAAATGTTAATATAATATAAACTTTGAAAGAGACCTCAAACACTAAGGTCCCATGTCTTGGCACATTTAAGATCTCGAATTTTGGAGTTACACAATATACAACTAATCTGACATACAAGTTCTCTATGGATTTTTTTTTATTAAAAACAATCTTGAAAGTTTTCTTTTAAGAATCCAAGGTTGAGTTTTCAATAATAAAATCTTTTGCTGTATCTTTTTTTTATTTAATCACATTTTTAAGTAATTTCTTTATAACTGATAAAAAGCATTTAATTCCTCTGTATGTTTCTTGAAGAAAAAAGCATTTCCCGTATAGGTCTTCTAATGCCTTTTGAATTTATGCCTTTAATTAATTTACCTGATGTCAAACTGCTGATTAACCCCTTCCCTGCAGTCACGCAATTTAACGCATGCACCATTTTCTATTTATGACGCAAAATCACGCATTTACCGTTTCCCCGCAATCACGCATTTTCACGCACTTTAAGAAGATCATTAAATCTTCAATTTATTGCCAAATTCCAACTATTTTATACTTGCTTAATCTCATAGAATAAGAAAAAAAATATTTTAAAATGTTACGTCATGTTATAATTTACGCTAAACTTTAAAGAAAGATGTACCCTGCTAGAAAGTGCTTGCGGGGAAATGGTAACGCAATATTTCTATGACATGAGGATTCAGTTTATTTTGCATAACAATTTTGTAAGGTGTAAAGTGTTAATAAGCAAATATATTTCTTTTCTTTCCCGTTATATTTTTTTAAAGCAATTTTACAAATGATGATAAAAAAGATAATTTTTTATCAAGTTTAAACAAAATGATAATATTCTAACTTGATTAGAAAAATAAAATGAACAACTGCCAATCAAACAAATTATAAACTTACTGTTTTAAATGAAAGAATACATATCAATGTTGTATAAATATGTATTGATATTAACGTTGTACATTTTCCTTTCGCAGCAGCTTCAACTTCAGCAGCAACAGACTGCGCATGTGCCATGTCTTCAACTGCTCAATTACAATCAACCGGAACACCAGATACAAAAAGTATCAAAGAATTCGATACCATCATATCAGAACTCAAAGTGTCCAAAGCTAACACAAGCTCTTTTAAAAGAAGGTTAACCTGTGCGTATGATCCACGTGAGAGTTCTAAGGCTATAGGTAGCTCTTGAATCTCTATTATTTGTATTGTATTTTGTCTCATTTTTATTTCCGATTGCTGTACTTTTTTAAGAAATAAAAAGGGATAATGCAAAGATGTTCTTGATTTTCTTTTATTCAAGCCGTTGAAGAAATTTAAACCTGTGCTAGAAATACAATTTTTTTATTTAAATTATGTGTCTAAAATGCTATCAAATAAACTTTCGCTTAATTTAGTGCCATCTATATTTGGAAAAAGTTTTCAGTTCTGGGGATATTTGGAAAGTGTTTATGGGATGCAATATGTCAACGTGGGATGTTCACACCTTAAGGACACCCAGAAAAACCTCAAGAAGTTCAGGAAGTTCACATAAACTGATTACTAGTATTTCTATCTGCTTATCTTCTCGGCTTATCCTAATGAGGCATAGATGATACATCTTCAGCGGTTTACAGATTTCGCTTTCTAACCAATGGCCACACCCTTACACCATAGCCCTTGACCTAGAATCTTGAGTTGCATAATTTTTTCAAGAGTATGTTGATTCAAATCATGGATCTAAATTATCTTTCAGCTAAATTACACAACTACAGGGAGACTTCTTTTTAAATACCTTTCACCAGAACTAATCTATCCATTTTCGAAGATGCACTTTTGTTTATTATTGAAACCCATTTCACAATTTAAAAAGAAGAATCATTTTTTATCATTAAAATGCATTTAATATGCTTCATTTTTAATTTAAATGAAAAGGAAAATGATATTATCTTTCAGACAGACCTCTTAATGTCCAAAAGTAAAACAAAAAAAATTAAATATTTAGTCTGCATTAATTCCTGGCTTTGTCCCTTTCTGCGGACCCTAGAGGAATACAGACCATGAAACCCGCATCTATTTTTTGCATGTTTTGCTTTTTACAATATAAACCATAAGCTCAATTTGGATGAAACTGGTTTTGCGTTTACACAGTACAAACTGAAAATGTCCAAATGCTCTCAAATTCACTTTTTATTGAGATTTTTTTACATGCAATCATTAACACATGTATACATAATATTCTTTAAAATGAAGTATTAAACAGACTATACAGACATTTCTTCCTATTTCGTAAATAAAAACAAAGCGTTTTTACTCGGAGCCCAGAGAGTGATTGAGTTCGGAGTTACCGCAAACACGACCCCGCAGATACGATTCCACCTGAAATCAGATCATATTGAAATCATAATACTTTAATGTATAGGTCGAACAATGACAATATGTAAATAAAGGCACATTTCTCAAACAAAGTTAAATTTGATTTTCAACATAAACTATAAAGTATTACACATGAGTTTAAACTTTACAAAGCTGCTAACGCTAAAGACTTCGTATTGAAGATGTAAATTATAATTACATAACTGCAATCCTTAAATCATATATTTGATATTTGTTTGTGGTAAGTTTGCTATTGAAGCAAGTCATATCATCTCATCAAATGAACATTAAGGACAAGAATAATTGAAGCGTTCATGTCCTGATGTACTGATGTCACATGTCATGAAAATTTATCTGATTTTAACTAATCAAATTATCTTAATACAGCGCACATGTTCCATCTGTGACCTAGCTGTCATTACGCATCAACTGGACTGTAACCAGATCGAATGCAAGGAGTCACCTGCTTATATGGGTCGTCTGTGGATAAATATAACATTTAACTAAAACACTGTAGAATTATCATGGAAGAAATGTGGATATAGAAATGAACTGAAAGTAAAGAAAAAACGCAGGCAACAATAAAAGCAGATCTAATTAGAAAGATTTGTTTGTACTTGCGCATCCATATTGGTGTGCAGAATCACAAATCTATAACCTCACTGAGGGTTACGGGAGCATGGTAAAAAACTAGATACAGACACAAGTCTACATTAACAATGACAGGTTTGTGAATACATCTTGTTTTAAAACTTGATTTACTGTTTTCAATATTTATGCCAATATGAATTTCGTGTTATCATGGTATATCTCACTGAAGTTCGGGGGGGGGGGGGGGTCTTTTTAATGAAATGCCTAGGTGAAGAAAAATATTATTTCTACCATTAAACATCGTATCTGTTGTCCTAGGGGAACTGAAAAAGTATCTAAACTACCTTGTTTACACGTTAATTTTAGGCATTAAGTAGGCAATAATTATATTCACATTCATCCGCAAAATTTCCGAAGTTTTTTCTTCTCAAATAAAAAAGAAGAACAGGTAATATATTAGCTTGATGTATGTAACAAATTTTTACCAAAGAAAAAGATTTTTAATGAGAAAAATGCACTCTGCATATAATGTTGCCATTTTGAATTTATACAATGCACGAAGAGTGATCAATGCAATTTCAACACTTATTTGCTCTGTCGAAATTAAACTTTAATTCACACTGTTTTCTTTACCCAAACTTACTTATTTTCAATAAAACAAGAAGAGATGAAATATTGGTTTGCTGTATGTAACACATGTTTGCCAAAGAAAAATACTTCTAATGAGAAAATGCCATCTACATTCAATGTCGCAATTTTCTTCTATTAATGCACAGCTTTCATTAAAATGCTCTGTTTTTTGACATCTTTGTTTTCTGTCTAGCCAGTTGCCCAATTATGATTTTTGTTTTATGTCTAATCCTATTTTATTAACAATTTTAATGACCCCAGGGGATTAATGAGATAAAAATACGAGTAACGTTGTTTACATTAGCATTTAAGATTACAGAAAAGAAATCACCAAATTTTGGCATTGTTCTCCAAAGGGTTATGTAGGGCTAAAAAGATTTAAAAGAAGCAGTTTTAGAAATAGCACTGCTGATTGCCAGTTAGCTCATTGAGGGTTTTGCTGAAATAATTCATGCTTTATTTTAATGTAGTAAATTTGTGTATTATTTTTGTCACACATGCATGCAACTTAGTCAAATCTTTTCAAACGTTGAGACTTTGTATTGCTGTAATTGTATTGTTTTATGAACGTTTAAGCTTGAATACTGTTCGATATCTCAATGTTGCATTGGTTATTTATTAATAAATATTTCTAAATATATATGAAAGCTTTAAACATGTAGGACACCAACACAGAGTCAAAACTGTACATTGACACAACTTTTACCAAGGAGGATACGCTTGCACTTACCAAGTCCGTGTCCGGTAATGTACTTTTAATATCAAATGTTTATAAAGGAAGGATTCATCTCATATTTCTTGTACTAAAAATTATTGAAATTTTCACAAAATCAAGAAGACAAGATCAGTAAATGATGTTATCAGTTAGATTAAATTTGGCCGTTTCATATTAGAGGCAAGGTCATTATCTTTTCCCTGGACATTACAAGTAAAAAATTATTGTTGTCAATCTTGCTATTTCTCCTTTCATTTCAAAAGATTAATTTTTTTTCTTTTTGCATAAAAAGATATAGGGCCTTTACAATGTAACATGACTTACCAAATTGACATAAATATTTTTACTAAAATGGATATCGGCTATTCACGATTTTCTCTATTCTTAAATTTTGAGGATATTAAAGTTATTTTCATAAAGTTCTTATGTTTAAAATTTTCTTGTTTTCACATTTGGTAAAGTTGTCAAATTAAGATACAAAATGATACAAAAAGAAAAAAGGTGATTGTTTAGTAAGAGACAAAAGGTATTTTTACGGATTTTTGGCTCAAATATTTTCTTAGATTGGAAGCTTTTAAAAGCTAACATAGTTCTAGTTTGTTTGAAAAATCATATTTATTACATGTTTTTTGAAACTAAATCCCTTATTATTAATTTAACTAAATTCATTTGTACTATAACAATTTTGAGAGGCAAAAAAGAAGATATTTTCATACGCCACCCGTCCGCCAAAAATATAGTCCCTCCTATCATTAAAATCTATTTTATTATTTCTATTTATGCTGTACAATTGTAATGAGGAAAGAAAATATGGTCTTGTAAATCTCTTACATCTTAATATATAATATATATAAGCAAATATACTGTGAACATTTCATCTAGTCAGAAACCAGAAAAATCCTGACTTAAATCTATTACGCCTAAATATATAAGATATATAAGCAGATATACTTTGAATATTTCATCTAGTCAGAAACCAGAGAAGAATCCCACCTTTAAGAGAATACTATCTTAATATTTTAATCTGATTCGGCTAAAACAGTCCTAAAATTTTATCCTAGTTTTAACGACGATATAGTATGTTTGATTTGGCCAAAGGATCATACAGAGAACATAGACTTAAGTCAAATTTTCACTTGCCTGTAAAATTTGATTTATTGACAATGACATCTCTACATGTATATCTGAGGATTACAGCACTTTCCTGGTGAAAGCAAAATTCTAATAGTGGACTGATTTACATCTACAAACTTCTAGCACCAGATAAAGTTTTGACTTAAGCTTTAGATCTTTTAGGCTGCTGGGACCAGGGCAAAGGTTCATGAAATATCTTAAGCTTAAGGCAAATTTAACGTGTTTTACTTGAATGTTAAACAAGTTTAGCAAACCAAAATAAGAATATGTTTGAATATTGTTTCACAAAAGCACTGTTATTTACAAAATGTGATATTTATTCATGAATTCACCAATATATTTACACATAATAAAATGAATGATCTAAGCTTAAGTCTGTTTAATGATCCTGAACCCAGGTTTACGACTGTGAACCATGTTTTATTTTTTTTTTTAAAGTAAAGATGTCGACCATTAATTGCTCTCAAAAAATCTAAAACACTACCAAATTGAAAATTTGGAGGTTCAGAAGGTTGCCCGAGGTGTCTTCAAGGAGTTTAACATCCCAAGTTGACAGATCTCAACCCCACCCTTAACCAAACCCCCCCCCCCCACCTACTCCATAAACCCTTTTATAATATCCCAGAACTGAAAACCTTAACGATTTTTTAAATAAATATTAATAAGAATAAATTGAGCAAAAGTTTATTTGATGGTTATGTCGACACATAATTTAAAAGCTCGTGTTACAATGTACAAGCACACGTATTATTTTTTTCAACTGTAGAAATGATAGACAATCAAGAATATCTTCGATTTATTCTTTTTTGTTCCTTAAACAAGTGCAGCAATCTACAACAAAAATTAGTCCAAAGACGATACAAATAACAGAAACTCCAGAGCTTCCTATAGCCATAGAACTCTCACGTGAATCATACGCACAAGTTAAACTTCTTCTAAAAGCACTGGTGTTCACTTTGGGTACTTTGAGTTCAGCTATGATCGTATCGAATTCCTTGATACTATTCGTATCTGGTGTTACGGTTGATAATTTCGTATCTGGTGGTACTGTTGATTGCGATTGAGCAGTTGAAGGCATGACACTTGGGCAGTCTGTTGCTGCTGAAGTTGTAGTTGCGGGGAAAGGAGAATGTACAATGTCAATTTATACACATATATGCATGACTGATATAATTATATACTAGTATCTGTTTAAAATAATAATAATAAAAGTCTTCAATTTTGCAATCTTGATTGACAGTTGTCAATTTTATTGTTCTGTTTTAGTAAGATTACTACTTTTTTAACTTGATAAAAAAATGGATATTTTTCCTTGTCTTCATTTTTTGGACCTTGAAAAAAAATTGTACAGAAAAATCTTTAATGATTGATTTGCTTAATAAGTAGTTTGACGTTATATTTAGAACCCGTAGGAAACTTATGCTTAAGGTCATGAACTAGTAAATGAAAGGTGCCTACATATTTCTCATAATTGAGAAATAAATTTCTTTGATGATGTTTTATAAGTTAAGCTTGGTCAAATAAGGTGTTTAGCGGGGCATAATTAGGAGATAGACAAGATGTAAAACCATATCTTAAACTGTCACTTTCAATGAAAAATTAAGAAATTCAGTCATGAATATGGGACTTTTCACCATATAAGAAGACGAAAATGTATTCAGATAACCTACAGTCTCTCAGAAAACGGTAATTTGTATGTTCTTGGCATCTTCTTTAGAATAATGTCAATTTTAATATCGGTATCGGGACTACTTTTTATGTAATTTTAAACTGAATTCCATGAAAATACTGTATTTTCTACATAATTCTTCTAGAGCCGTAAAGTACGGGAAAGGAAAATTGAAAGTGATTATGACGTCATAATGGATCTAACACCAAAAAGTTAGTCTTAAGACATTTACTAGATCTTGACCTTAAACCAGGCAAATTAAAGTAAATGCATGAATTTGATAGACATTAAAAGGCGTAAGATTGATTGATTGATTGTATACTGTTTACCGTCCCTCTCCAGAATATTTCACTGATATTGAGACGTCACCATTACCGATGCAGATTTGGGCCTATGCTCGGCCCTTACGGCCTTTGAGCAGGGAGGGATTTTTATCGTGCTACACCTGCAGTGACAAGGGGCCTCGGTTTATACGGTCTCATCCAAAGGACCGCCCCATTTAGTCGCCTTTTACGACAAGCAAGGGGGTACTGAGGACCTCTTCTAACCCGGATCACCACGGGGCAAAAGGCGTGAGGTGATATGCTTTTTTTAAATGTCCCAAAAATTAAATGTTTTTTCTATAATTTATAAAGAATTGTTACAAAGATATGATTAGATATAAAAGGGACAGCATATATTTTTCATTAAAGAAAAACTCAATCCAGGTCAACCTAGGTAAACCTTGAATGCTAAAAATGTTTTTCTTTAAATTCCACAAAGTTATGTATATTCATAGAAAACGTGTAGATCAGATTAATTGTATGTTGTTTAACGAACTGTTTGGATATTTTTTTTTACATACGTATAGAGATACAATACCATATTATATACTGGTGAAGGTTTTTAAATTTACTAGACAGTCAGAATCATTGGACAGTGGGAGATCTTTATCGTTCCAACACATCCTGAAACACTGGTCCTTGGTTTTTAAGGTTTCTTTTTCAGAGTTTGTATACAAATGAATTCAATGTTGATTTCCCAAAGTTTTTTTTTTATATATATCTACCAACAAGACAAGTTAAAATAATTAAAAAATACCTCTTACATAAAGAGGAACAGCTTCAATTTACATATCTAAAATTGTTCTTGACTGTTTATCCCCTAGAATTGATGAAACTTTAATGATTGAACTTCACGTATTAGAGTAAGGCGTCGTTTCGGAGAGTGTTTTTAGAGTCGGTCCTAAACTATTAACAATCTTTATGTCATAGTTTTAACTTACTTATATTAATTGTTTCCTTACCCCTTATGAAATCCCAACGAAATGTATTTGTTAAGTAAAATAAAACAATTATAAATATACCATAGTTTGCTGGTTCAAATTAAACAGGAAAAAAACACTTCAACTTGACAAATTAAAAAGAGAAAATAGACATTAATGTCATTTAAATTAATTTCTCCTAACAGATTTAGATAAAGTTTAAGATATTTGTTACTTCTCATGTTCAGAGAAGTTGTTACTACAAACCTGAACAGGCTACAGTGGTATCAGACCATGATGTTCCATTGCACGAACTCTCAACGGAACCTCCATTACTGGAAAATCCAGGTGTACAAGCATATAACGTCTTACTTCCGGCTATCACTCCATTATATAATTTGATTGTATTTGGAATATCTTGAGGCAATGGCCACTCTGTAAGGAAAGGATAATTTTATTTTAAATTAATTTTTTTTCAAAAGAATGTTTTATGGGGGATTTTAAGATAAAGTCTTTATTTATATTTGTTGTTGCCTTGAAATGTTTATAAATATAAATTTCGAAATAAATTAAATATTAACTCATTGAAAGTAAATGGCAATCATTCATAATGACATTTTATTGAAGATATAATTTTATCTCAAATAAAAGTTCTGACCTGTAAACCCAGCCTTTATTACTTTGACTGTTATCTGAACATTGTTGATCTGCATATTCTCTGTACCATCTCCCCACAAGCCACCAATGTAGATAAGATTTCCCCCAACCACACTAGTGCTGGGTGTCCATAAAAGAACATCTGATTGTGTGAAGCCAAAAACCACTCCCCCATAGGACTCCCCTGAGTATCCCATATTGGCAGATCCGGCTCCGTAAAATACCTTTCCTTTGCTAACTGTTGTGTCCTTGATCTAAAACGGTTTGTGAAGTCCTTTTTAAATTTATTCATAAAAGTTGAGCTGAATGGTTTATGCAACACGTCAGCCTTAAGAGATAATTTTAACTCTTGTGTGAAGCATGAAACAAACATGTTAACATTATATTTCATCTCAACGTTGACTATGTTAAAGTCTAGATCAATTGCGTTTGTCATAGATATTGCTCCTGATGCGGATATGACGTCACCTTTGGCATACGCAAATGTGTTTATGTCGACTATATCTGAGGACGAGAGGGTCCAGGCTCGGATGATGACGTCAACAGAGGTAGGAACGATATCAGTAAAGGTCCCCATCTGTCTCTATAACACGTTACGTAGTCATCTATAGATTAAAGAATCGAAGAAAAAAGTTGTAAGATAAGTTCTCCACGCATACTCTCGAAACGGAATAATTTGTTGCAATATCGCTACTGATCGAATATGATCAAAATGGAGTTAGATATGTATTATGTGATCAATTACATCCACTCCTCAGAATGCAATATAAAAAGAAGAACATCAAAGCACAAAATTTTGAAAATAGAAGGTCAGAAAGGCGTACTCAGTTCAAAAAACATTACATACAACCTCAAAATCCGGTCAAGATGTTCCTTCAAAGCATACTATAATGTAATAATCGAGGTGGAGATGTATAAAATAAAATACCTTTTAAAACTGAATTTATTTCTGTTAACCATTATATAACCAAAATATATGGAGATGAAGATTTTTTTCTCTGTCGAAAGTCCATTTCAACAATAAAAATGAGGAGGATCAGAGCAAAAAACGGTACTCTTAAGCAAGAGGGGTGGGATCCGAAGGTACTCATGTTAAAAATGCATATACCTTTAAGTGTATTGCATTTTTCTTTGGAAGGTTCATAAAAAATATTCTTGTGTGTTTATTTACATTCTGTTTGAGAATTTTGTACTAAATATATGAATACGTGACTTCCTGTATATAGTATTTAAGGCTTATAATTTCAAAAATAAACCTTTATTTGGCAGTCAGGGTCTTTTAATTTTTAGGGTTTTGTATCATTCCAACGTGTGACGTGACACAAAACTGTGCAGTATTAGGAAATTACCACCTGGTAGACCAATTGTCTCGCTAAGCGATACGCCAACGAGGAAAATAGGACAATATTGCGATTACTTTCTTGTACCTATTGTTCAAAAACAATCAACTTATATTAAAGACACTACGGACTTTATCAACAAAATTGAAGTTCTCAAACTGCCAGAAACGCATTATTTATTACTTATAAGGTGACGAGCATGTACACAAACATGGAATTCATCTCTCATCAGTAAATGAGGCTTACACTTAGGCCAATAAAACGCAATTAGACATTCCATATCCTGACCCTGAGGATCTTAACTTCTTACTGAAATGCGTCTTGGAAAAAAGTTACTTTGAATTCGATGGAAAATATTACAAACAAATAATAGGAGCAAGTATGGGGGCAGTCCCCAGTCCAGATATCTGTGACATCAGAATGTATCAAATCACAAAGAATATAATGGCACAATTTCGTCATGTCAGCAAAATTGTCTTCCATGGCAGATACCGTGATTACGGTTTCACAATATTTAATGGATCGGATCCAGAGATAGAAGAATTCTTCAATATTGGCAATCACTGTCACAAGCATCTAAGATTAACATTTGCCATGTCTCCATCTGCTGTGAACTTCCTTGATACTACGGTTTACAAGGGACCGACATTTCAAAATTTTAACAATCTTGATATGAAATCGTTTATCAAACCACAAATAACATTCAATATCTACACAACCCAGCTGTGTTTAAAGGATTCATTAAAGGAGAATGCATTAGACATGCAAGAAATACTACTGACTCTGAAATATTACATGCAACACTTAATGACTTCAAGACGCACTTATCAAAGCGAGGTTATATTACTCTACTTCGGAAATTGATCCTATTATCAAGGAAATGGACAACACAAACCGATCAAAACTCATCATAAAAAAGACTAAAGTCATTACGCAACCCTACAGTACTGTTTACTAAATTTAACCCTTGCGTTAAACGACTGAAAAACGAATTTTGAAATATTTGGACAATATTCTTAGAAATCCAGAATGCAAAATTTTATTTAATTCGTAACCAATCATAGCTTACAGCAAACACAAGAATATAGGTGACGAAATAATCCGGTCTCACCTAAAACAAACACCGTTATTTATGTCCGTGGCACCTGATGAGGCTTCTTAATAGCCGAAACACTCTACAACTACTAGAATAATTCAAATCAAATATTAATCTGCTTTAGTCAAAAAATCAAATCTACTAGAAGTGTGTTTTGGAGTGTCGGGTCTTAATAAATCTTTTACAAGTTTGGTTGACTGATGTCGCTTATTTTCACATTTCTTACAAGTTTGGTTGATTGATGTCGTTAATTTTCACACTTCATATTTCAATACGTTCTCAACCGAAAGATACATTTTTCACGTCCAATTTTAGGCTCTTAGCGTAGAAACAATGGATGATTTTTTTTGTCAGTTATACAGGGGTTTTGAAGCCATGATCTTACGATAACGAGCGAGCGATCATCTAGATTTGATATTGGGTCTTATTATGTGACTAAATTTATGTCATATCCCAATGAAGATCTTAAAACCACTGATATATTATTTCCCAAAAATGTCCATGTTACAAAACCTAAAAATTCAAAGACATAAGATACACATTATCACTTTACCCGTGTTTTTACTTACAGTATTTGCTTGCTCCCCACAATATGATTGCTGTGTCGTCTATTCCAAATACTGTTCCGCAGACACTGATCTTTGATGAGTGGTCAACCGTAATTGGTGTTGTACATGTTAAACAGATAAAAAAAATAAGTAAAATAAAGGCCAATCCTCACGATTTTTAATATATATTCAAAAGTTTTTAGTTTCATATATAAAGAATGTAGGTTTGAATAAATCGAAGCAAAAACTTGTAATGGACGAAATGTAAAACATTTTTAATAGTTTTTCTTGTCTTTTTTATATATGAATTAAATATGAATACATACTAAGACCCTCTGAAACTAATCCTCCAGGAATTAAGAGCTGGACTGTCACGAAGTCTGGATAGGTTCCCAGACAATGGGACACCTTTTTGTATGGACTTGCTACATAAATACAATATAGATACCTATTATATAATATCGGGTGTCCTTTTTTAAATCTTAAACTTAAAAATTCAAAGTCAAACTAAAAGTGGACTGTTTAATAGAGAGCCCCGACGAAGACAACTTATTTGCACTACTCTGGTTTCCATCTTAAAATAAGTTATTATTATTATCTTCAAATTGAGAGGAAATAAAAACAAATATATTAAGAGTACATGTATTATTGTATGTGTGTGTTCGGGGGGAGCAGGGTGATCACATATTTGGAGTTCTGCAGTTAGGTTTTAAATTGTTTACATACAACAAAATTTATTGCTGTAATTCTCTATTAAAACATAAGAAAACATAGTTGAGAGGAAAAAAAGTGAAAAATAATATGTTTTATTCCTCATACCAATTACTTTTTAAATTCTTGCAATATGCATATTTTTGTGGCTAATAAATAATGACTATTGCACGAGTGTTTTTCCTGTTGAGTAAACTAGGGAGATAAGATATTCACCATTCAATATGGAAACACATTCCAGGAAGCCGACATTTGCCTAGCTTTAACTTTTAATTACCAAGAGATATTTACTACTACACACCCGTTGAAAGTGTCAATCCAGACGTAATACTGAAGTCAGGTTTTGGCCAATCAGACAGTTTCCAGGCCCTTATACGAACTTGACATGTTGTTGAAGATCCTGTAAACGGTCCAGAGTATGAAGATCCTCCTAGAACAATGGGATAAATTTTCAACATAATCAGAATTATATAATTTTTATGAATATACAAGTAAGCGCTAGCACCTATTTCCAAGGATATTTGGGGAGGGGGGTGGAGGGGGTGAGGAAGGCGTTTATATAACATCGAAAAAAGACTCTAACTTGTTGTGCGTATTGTGTTTTGTTTGTTGTTTAACATCCCTATCACAAATTTCTCACCCAATTCAGACTCCACCACTTGCCCGTGAAGGGCTGCATTATACATGTACTCCGCACTGAGAGGCATTGAACAGTAATAGATTATATTCCAGTCAACACATTGTGCCGTACTGAAGCATAAAACCTCAGCCTATACGATCTCATCCGAATGACTTGTCCCCACGTCCCTCGGTGAAAATGATGCTAGCGCTTCATGAAAAATATGCCTCAATGCAAATATTTGTGATTCACACATCAAAAATTCACACTAAACTTTAAAACAATCCTTACAATTTGATTTTATATGTTTTATATGTTTGGATGCACATAATATATACTCAATATTTGAATTTCTCGCTGCCTTACATCATTATACTTCTACTAACGTCGTTGTAGCCTTATTGTGACGTCACGTTAACACACGTTTCTCCATATATATTTCTACACGTGAGTATACAAGAAAATGGTATTCAAATCAATTTCATTGTTGGTTAAGTGGAAAAACAAAGCGAGTGAAATTTTATCTAATGAACATATGAAATCTTTTACATAACCTTAAATCATAATTTACTCACCTGTAGTTAGTACTCGCCCAATGCCTCCACCGCCACCCGATTTAATGACAGGAACAAAAAGCAGGACATGTGAGGAGTTGTATGCATAGGCCACCCCACCATACTCAGTCGGTATGTCGTCATCTTTTGGAACCGATCCAAGTCCTGGAAATATGTATTATTTTGACTTGGACATCTACTTTTGCTGGTAGTTCATTCAGAGTATGAGGAATGGCTAGTGGACTTGCATCATTGACTGATAATGGGTGCCACGCACTGATAAATGGCTTTCTGATGTTGTTCATCTTACAGAAACCTTTGGAATAAAAAAAACTGTTTATTTAAAACGTTTGCCAATTATATAAGTTTTTTTTACAAGAATAACT